ACTCATGATAATTACTGATCTACATTAGAGCAGATAATTATTTGCACAAACATTAATTAACTAGTCAATTCATAATCGTTCCAAAATTTCTTCAGTTTTATCAATAGAGAAATGCACTGATGCAAAATACATAATAACCTGGTTATTTTCAATAATAACTGCCTTCTCTGTTGATAATCAAAGCTGAACACGAGACCTAACAACTGTCAACACTATCCTTATTCTCACGACTCACGTTGACGTTTCGTGTAAACAAAACCACTTCCGTTTTTTATTGAATCTCGATCCCGATGATGTTAATAATCCAAACAGTTTCATGCACAGGCATTTCGATCGCTTAGAAAGAAAAAAATTGAGATGTTAAAAAAAAATAATTTTTTATACACACACAATTTTTTTAAGCGGTCCAAAGGCCTGTGGTTTCATGCGATGCCACAAAGTGAATAAAATGTTAAATGAATAAATGATTCTAAAATGTTTCAAGAAAACTTTTTAAAAATATATTTAAAAAAAACACAAACAACAGAATGTGTTTTTGTATGATGGACCTATATGACAGCCCATGGAAAAGGTCAAAGTTTAATTATAATTCTCAAATGTTTTATAATAAAAATTTCTTAGGCTAGCTAATAAGTCAAAGTCAAAGGTTCAAAATAAATATGATAACCAAGGAAACGTTAATTATCATGGTTATGTCACTAGAAATGCATTGTAAAGAATAAAAGCCCAAGCACCAGAGACATGTGATGTCTCTGCAAGCATCATTTAAAGCCATGCAAGGTTAAAATTTCAAAGTAGGTCAATACCTATAGGTCATGGTCAAAAATATTTGTAACGTACCATGAAAAATTCTACTCTATATACATGCAGTGCACATGCATGTGGAGAAAAAAGTCCTAACATATATCTGCAACAGTTCAAAAGTTATTGCATGCCAATTAAGGATAAAGTTTTTCAAAAGTAGGTCAAATTCCAAAGTTTTGGTACTTTCATCTGCATATGGGATTCAAGAGCATACCCTTTGTGCAAAGTTATAATTTTTAAAGTGAGGGAAGCTAATGACAAACAAGTAGAAAGAACAAAGAAATCATCCGACTCATTTCAGGGCAACATTTTGCAAGATCTTTGGTTGAATCAATAACTTAATGTAGGAAACTAAAGTCTTCCATAATAACTCTAATGTTGACAGCATAATGTTTTTAAATCATACTAATTGTTAGACCATATTATTTACACACTGATATTCTTTACAATTTTTTTCATTGCTATATATGCAATCATGACAAAGAACACTCAGCAGGTGTGACTGCCGATGCTTACTCCTCTATGGCACCTGATTCCATCTCTGATGTTTTTAAGAGGTCTGTGTTTGCTCTGCTCCTAGTTTTGCCTTCTGAGCTTGATTACTGTTCATTAAGGATGGTCTTGTCACAAGAAATATAAACATGAAATATATGTCTTAGCATAAACTATTCAAAATTAATGGGCAAAGTTAAATTTTTTCAAAAGAAGGTCAAACTTAAGTATTAATGTCAAGGGTCAAAATTGTTGGCAAGTATTAGTCAGGTTCACCTGTGAAACAATTAGAAGCTTATAGCCCTCAACACTCAAAAGTTATAATTAATCTAGCAAGGTTTAAGTTTTTCAACAGTAGGTCAATCATCAAGGTCAAGGTTAAAAGACCACAATTGCTGTACTCAAGCAAAGATCCTGACACTAGGAATACACATCTTTGATAGGAAAGCCCTAGCTCAAACCACTCGGAACTTATGGCCATGATAATTTTTTTTTTTCAAAAATTCGCCCAGACACCAAGGTCAAGATCAAAATGGTAAAAAATATTTGTACCCAAGGTAATGTCTTACCATAAGTAATACATGTGAAGCATGAAAGTCTTAGCACCAAATATCCTAGAGTTATGCATGACCAAGGTTAAAAATTGGTCAACCCTGAGGTCCAGAGATCAAATATCATGAATATGGATATATCTAAAGACAGGTTTTCTCACAATGAATACACCTGTGATACATTAAAGCCATGTAACTTCAATTTCCAATCAAAAGTAATAGACATGGCAATCTAATTAAAATTAGATGTTGGATCCGCTCGCATACTCGCTACACCAACATCTAACAACATCCCATAGAGGGTCACGTCAGAGGTCAAAATCTATCAACCAATCCAATTGTTGCTGGCAAAATCATCAGATATTTGTTGACGTAATCGAAGTAAATAAGTCTAGAGTTGTTCCGAATTTGACCTCTGACGTGACCCTCTATGGGATGTTGTTAGATGTTAGTGTAGCCAGTATGCGAGCGAATCTAACATCTAATTTTAATTAGATTGTAGACATGGTTAAGCATCTTACAGATAAACAGACAGGCAGAGCAAAAACTACATGCCTCCAAATCTTAGATTATGGGTGTATAAAAAACTGCTATCCATATTTATAACAGAACTAGATATAAGCATGGTTATATACATGTAGGTGTTTCCTACATGTCAGATTGACTCCATACATCAAGTACTAGACAATTATGTGATGTCCTAAGTGAATAAAGACAAAAAATAACTGCACATCTAAATTAGTTTTAAATTTTTATTATATACCTATTGCTACAATATAATAAATTACAATGCTGTTCTTGAAGAATTCATAGCATATTTATATACATGTATATTTTCATAAACATGTGCCACATGTTTTTAGTACCAGTATGATAGCGGTACATAAATTCCTTAGACCTTTTTTGCATAAAATAAAAAAAAAATTAATACAGTATGTTAAAAACACTCTTTCCTACTGAAAAGATAAAGGACAATAAAAAAAATCTCCACATGTGTTAGTAAAAATAAGGCCCCAGTAAGGGGAGAACAGCACATATCAATATTGACTAAAATAAAAAAAAAATATGTATGAATTGTGTGACTATATATTTAATATTTGTCAGTGAAATGATTACATATGGATGCTGCTGATGGAATCCTCTCTTTAAAAAAAATCAGGATTCATTTACTGAACACATTATTTTTTCCCTGGGAAGAAGATGGTTTGAAAAATGAGACAAAAGTGTGTGGATGAACACATTTAGAAATGGACAGATCTTGCATGGATTTTCGTATAAAAAATTCTACAAATGATATGAAATGTATGAATTCTGTTGAATATTTTTGACAGAGTTTTAAGTGTACTAAAATGATGATACACATTCAGAGAACAATGGTGGGTGGGTATTATTTTGCTTTTAGCAGCAGGATTCAGGCAAACATCATTCTCCACAAAATGGAAGCTAGTACATGTACTTAAACAATTTAAAATTACTACAAGATTTTTAAATGTACAATTTTGTGTATGCAAGTTCAGAAATTAAATATTCATTGTTTATTCTTTGGTAGGAATAAAAATTATATCAGATATTGTGTATTAGGGTCACATAACCCCACTGAAATGTTAAAAGCAGTTTATTATAACAATGGTATCATTAAAATAATTTGTATATGAACATGAAGATCATTTATAAAAAGTTTTCCAGCATAAAAATAAAATCTAAGAAAATCATTTACCCATATATTTTCAGAACTGATAATATATGGATTTAATTGTAATATTTCAATCTACTAAAAAATTTATCTGAATATTCATGTTTTATTTCAAAACTTCACCAATTAAAAAGAAAAATATACAGCTTTAATAAAAAAAATGTCCACAAATAGGCAAGACAAAGTCTTACAACAGACAGGAATATAACTGTATTTCATTCTCTGAAATACACAAAATGAAAATATATAACTAATATCATTTCACTAATATAAATAAGGGGAATTACACATGGAAGAAATAACTTTGTGACAAAACATCAATGAATTGAAAGAAATATATATTATATACAAGCACTAATACATAAACAAAACAAGAGGCCCACCAATTGAGCAAAGGGTAGGAAAAAAAAAATGGCTTTTTATTGTAAAGTTTAAAAAAATGTCCCATGACCAATCATGGATTTGCTATTTTTTAGAAAATGATTTTTATTTCCTATATATATCTTTAAAAACTTTGGTCGGCCATTTTAGCCCTACCCCTGGGGGTCATGATTTGAACAAATTTGAATACATACTTGAGCATGCTTCCATATAAATATGATGAATTATGGCTTTGTCATTCTTGAGAAGAAGATGTTTAAAGAATTTTCCTACATATATTTCTATGTAAAATGAAAATATAGAACAAACTTAATATCACTTGAACATTCTTCCATATATAATGAATAATGGCTTTGAAATTAAAGGATTTTCCTATATATTTCTATGTAAAAATCTTTGTGACAACACATCATTGAACTAGAACATGAATATATGAACATTTTAGAAGAAGATTTTTAAAGAATTTTCCTATATATTTCTATGTAAAAAAGTCGGCCATTTTGGCCCCGCCCTACAATTTGAACAAAATTGAATCTACACTACCTGAGCATGCTCCCATATAAATATGATGAATTATGGCTTTGTCATTCTTGAGAAGAAGATTTTTAAAGAATTTTCCTATATATTTCTCGGCCAGATATAAGACAAAAAGATTATGTTTCCATGTTTATCTTTTGGCACATTTGAGAATATATTTTTAAAATATCACCAAATTTTCATTAGAAATAATTCATTTCTCATTTGAATCCCCTTCACCCAAACATTTGTGGCAAGTTTAAGAATTAGTAACGAAAATGTGAAAAGTTTTCATAACAAAATGTATCAGAAACATGGAAATTTACGTGTATACTGACCCATATAATTGCCATTTTTACAGACCATTTCTTAGATATAATTAATTCCATGTGTATTTTCATTTAATATGTTACTGCATCAGAACTATTTTAGAAATAATTAATTTCTGAATCCTAAAACATTTAAGTATGAGAGGTAACATAGATTTTATTACATAAGGAATCAGAAACATGGAAATTAACAAAACTTAAAGATCCATACCATTGTAAAAATTCTCACTTATGTACAGTTTTATAGAATATCTGATACAAAACAACCTTAAGACATAAACTCACATTTAGCACTAATAAGCAACACAAAGAGAGGTTAATGTTTACAACACACATACTTAAACAATCGATGTAATTATGCTATTTATATTTACAAAAATAAAGTAAGGTGGTGATTAGATGCCTATTACAAAGATTGAGGCAAATTTGTGAAAGTTTGTGATTTCTGTCATGATTATAAAGAAAAAAAATAAAAAGTTCATGGATTCAATGAGATGTGAAGATCAGTATGTACAGAATAGTGTATGTGTTCTGATGTGTGAGTATCTGTGCTATGATGTAGAATATGCATTGCTTCCTGAGGAGGTGAAATGTAAACAAATAAGTGTAAAGACAAGAGCTACCAAGAAGAGAATAAGAAGTTGCTGCCTTTGAGTTTGTAGCTGAAGCTCAGTGGTTTTGTTCTCAAGATCTGAGACAGTATTTGATTGTCTAGTTGCCCTCTTTTCAAGGTCAGAGTTCTTAGTCTCTAGGTCAGAGTTCTTAGTCTCTAGGTCAGAGTTCTTAGTCTCCAGGTCAGAGATTGTAATGGACTGTTCAGAGTTCTTAGTCTCTAGGTCAGAGTTCTTAGTCTCTAGGTCAGAGTTCTTAGTCTCTAGGTCAGAGTTCTTAGTCTCTAGGTCAGAATTCTTAGTCTCCAGGTCAGAGTTCTTAATCTCCAGGTCACAGTTCTTACACTCCAGGTCAGAGTTCTTAGTCTCTAGGTCAGAGTTCTTAGTCTCTAGGTCAGAGTTCTTAGTCTCTAGGTCAGAGTTCTTAGTCTCTAGGTCAGAGTTCTTAGTCTCTAGGTCAGAGTTCTTAGTCTCTAGGTCAGAGTTCTTAGGTCAGAGTTCTTAGTCTCCAGGTCAGAGTTCTTAATCTCCATGTCAGAGTTCTTACTTTCTAAATCAGAGATTGTCGTGCTTTGCTCTGTAGTCTTAGTCTCCAGGTCAGAGTTCTTACTTTCTAAATCAGAGATTTAACACTTTGCTTTCTAAATCAGAGATCGTAATGGATTGTTTTGAAGTTTTAATTTCCAGGTTAGTGACTGCTTTAGACAATTCAGAATTCTTTTCTTTCATCAATGCTAAATTTTCCTCAAGTCTGCTTAAACTAACTTCAATTGTTGAAATAAGCTTGTCATATTGTGCTTTAAGAATATTTTTGCACCTGTGAATATATTCTTTCAGTTCTTTATTTTCTATCTGAAGTTTTTTCTGTTCTTCCTTCATGTCTAAGAAGTATTGTGTTTGTGCCTCATTTTCCATCATAAATAGTGCCCTATCGTCCTCTAATTCAGAGACCATCTTTGTTTTTTGCACCAACTGGTCATAAATCTCTGATTTTCCCCTACTTTCTCTGTGTAGCTTCTGTCGAAGATCTCTGATCATGTCTGTTAGTCTGTCTGTATTTTGTTCATGTTCATGAATTGTAACCTGCATGTCTGTAATTGTGCCTGTTTGTGTAGTAATTGTGTTCTGAAGCTGTGTATTTTGATGTTGGAGTGCCTGTTTGTCTGTCTGTAACTGTTGACACATGTGTTGAGACACCTGCTTATCTTTCCTTTCGTCCTCCAGCTCAGCCAGACACTGAGTGTATTCCTGTTTCAGTGCATTGTGGTCTAGCTGAAGCTGTGCCTTGTCTTGCTGTACAGTACACAGGATTCTCTGGAGGTTGTCCTTTTGTGTTTGTAGATCATGGATCTTCCTTCCATTTTCTGTACTGGACTGCCCCAATACTTCAATCATGACATTCTTTGAGCTCATCATTTGTTCAAGGAGTTCAATACTTCGAAGATGGCTTCTCAGAGTTTCCCGGAACTCTTCATTTTCTAAGTATAGCTGCCCTATAATATTATTAAATTAAAATTTTATATAATTTCCACACAATATTTTATTTAATGCATCACCAAAAGCTGAAAAAAAAGAAAATACATTTATTAAACTTAAGTTTCTACTACTTTCAATACCAAGGTTACCACAAATTATTTAATACTGACTCAAAAAAATTAAAGTGGTGACACATATTAAAATTTTATCATATTCTTTAAATAATTTGAATGCCTAGAATAAAATGGGGTCACTCTTTCAATAGTCTATCTAAATACATGTACTCCAACTCAGAGGGATTCCATTATAATTAATTCTTACACCTTATAAATGGAAATTTTAGGGAGACGCAAATTTAGCAATTTGTCCTCAAAAACTGGTATTTTATTTTTAGCGAGATGTAATTTTAGCGATTTTAAAAAAGCTCACTAAAGAAGCTATTACAAATAAAGTACAATTAATTTTAGTGACATTCAATTTTAGCGATCTTGGCACCCTCGCTAATAATGCCAAAATTAAATCCTAGCTATAAATTCTGCTTATATGGTATTATTGTCACAGGAAATCGTAAGCAATAAATCAATCTTATTTTGAAAGTTCTCCATCACAGATCTGACACACGACAACAGAGTGACCCCGTTTTACTGTAGTCCTGGTAAGCCTCACTATAAAGTACCTAAAGTCTTGTGAGAGGTGTCCGTCAGAGCATTACCTTCATATATCTGCAGGAACCGGGAAAACTCCAGAACACTTGGAGCACGATCTATGAAAAAAAGAGAATAAAATAAAAATAGTTTGAATCAAGCTTATTTATGTGTACAATATTAATTTAAAAAAAAAAATAGAAATGTGTACCGTATGTGTAATATAATTTAACTTACGGAGTTTTTGGAAGAAATGATTGTATGCGAGTTGCTGATCCTCCTGAGAATAATGGTTGAAATGGTTTTGGATGTTGTCTAGATCTTGTGGATTAACATTCCCCCAACCTAAAATAACAGTACTTTTTAATACTGCAATAAAACGATTGAACACCATGTCATTAAAATGAAGCAATAAGTACAATTTTCTTTATTTAATTGTATAGCTCCGTTAAAATACACTAGTTTTCTCTCTCCATATACAGTAAAACATGTTTATATAACAAAGTGCCAGGGACGATGATTTTGTGTTATAAACTTTTTTGTTACTGTAAACCAACTTTGATTCGCGATGACTTTATTTTGCAATTTACTGGGGTTAAACTAGTTCTCAACAATTAATTTTCGTGATCAAGCCTTTTTTGATCTGTTAATTGTTTTTACACACAGAGACTTTGAAGACAGCAAAGACTTTGATATATAGTAAGTGATTGGCCCCTTAAAATGGATATCTTAATTTTACTTTATATATAGCTTTAATTTGAACAGCTATATATGCGACCTTTATTGGTCATTTTCATTTTGATCAAAATGCCGTTATTTTAGAAACATGACATCATAAAGTTCACGTTTTCCCGCCATTTTAGCATATTTTGTATAAAACTGCTTATTTTCAAGCAGTTTTTCTTCCAGAAAATATAGAGCGCAGCCTAGAACAAGATTTATATTTTAACCAAAGATGTATCTATCCAATACTAATTAGTGATAGAAAAATTGTGTATGTTCTACACTGCGCTCGATGTTTCCCATAAGAAAAAACATCACGAAAAAGGCATATTTTTGGCTTTTTTTGTTAGATAGCAAAGATAGCATTATTTCTCATGTCATTTACAGCCAGTGAGTGCATATGAATGTGAAAATATATATTGGTACAAAATAAAATCAATTAAACATATCTGAATGTCAGTCTAAAAAAAGTTGATATATACATTATATCATTATATCTGTGGGCTTCACAATATGTTTTAAACACACTGGGAATGAAAATCACTTCACTTTGAGCTTCAGTTCAAGTATATTCACTATAAGTATGTTTTACTGTGTAGTACAGAAAATGTACACGCAAAAGCACATAGCAAAACCAGGCATTTTGCTTTGATTTAAAAGAACATTCAAAGTCTAAATATCCATAAATGTAGTTCCTTTTTTCCTTCTTGTGCATTAACAGTATGAAAATTAGCTATGCAAGAAATATAATGAATTAGGTCAACTTTAACAAATTTTATACTTGAACAAAGAGTACAATATTCATTACTTGCAACAATTAAAACAAACCTTGAAGATTTTGTGTGACTGGCTGGGGAGGATGGGGGGTGGGGATTGTCCCCCCTGCAATACTACCCTCTATTGTAGGACAGGGATGTGGAAAACGGTCAAAGTACTGTTTCAATGCATACAAATGGTCCGCATTCACTGGAGGACATCCTGGAATTAAGATGTATAAAACAGTTAACAATCAGTCAGGTCATTCTTTTTTAGTAAGTACATGTTTTACATGGCTTGGATATCAGCCCGTTAGGTAGAGCACCTGACTAGTGATCAAGTTCAATTCCCAGCTAGTCCAGCGAACAATTTCTCTGCTTCTTACAACAGTTACATTCTATATCGCATTGGTATCTTTTTTCATATTTATATAAATCACCTTTATTATGTTGGAAATATCTAAATGACTTTTCAGCAGCATTAACTCAATATTGTCTTCAATATTTTTTTTGGTTTCAATTAATGGTGCACAAGTTACTTTTGGAATTGTTTTTTAATATCAAAAGGCAAACTTTAAATCCCTGTGATTCAACATTTTAAATCCAAATTCACCAAGAGACTTTCTAAGAAAAATAATGAGCTGTTCTGTTAAAAACATCTCTAATAATTCTCTTAATATACATAATACCCAATACGTACCTGTTCTATTTATGATCAATTCTTTGATGTTATTTAGTATTTCTGTATCAATTCCATTGCTGGAAGGCTGTGAAATGCCACCATCTACAAATGTAATTCCATACATTAACTGAGAAAAACAACCAGATATATCATTACTGAATACATTTCACAGTTCTGAGATCTGTAGCACTAATTCATGGTTATACACTAAACACTCTATATCAAGTCACTTGGCAAAACTTGGAATGTCTGTCTGTTCTATTTTACCAGCTATACAACCCATAATCAAGTGTAATGGTTTGGGCCGTGGATATCGGTCTGAATAGCTCAGTCGTTAGAGCACCTGATTAGTGATACAGAAGGTCCCCGGTTCAATTCCTGATCCACCCATAGATTTTCTCCTTTCCTGTTACATTTAGTGCCCAACAATAAAGGTCATAGTTGGTATAAAGAAGTGTCTGTGAGGTTTTTAGGATGTAAAAAAATTAACAAAAAAGGGAAGAAGAGTGTTAAATCCTGACAAGGTGAACTTGTGTTGTGTCTTCGGGGGGCAAAGACTATTGAAGGAGGGGGGGGGGGTAAGAATTTAGGCTAGACTGAGTACATCGACCAGGATAGCTCAGTGGTTAGACCACCTGACAGGTAATACAGGGGTCCCTGGTTCAATTCACGGTCCAGCCAAATGTTTTCATTACATATTTATTTATGAATTTTCAATGTATGTTTACTCATTCCTCCTTTCCATACAATATTTATGTACGACATTGTTTACATGGTTAATGTACAGTCTATTATATTTCCATAAAAATCTTATCATAGATGCATAATCAGGAAAACTGAACTATTTTCGTTTTATAAAGAACAAGAACAGATGAATTACTAACGTGCCCCCCCCCCTTTTTTTTATCCAAGCATTCTCAAATGTCAATGTTACAATATATCATAAAACTCTGCTCTAGTTCAGTGATAAGATAGAATGAAAATCTCCAAATGCTTGTTATCCTTTTAAATAATAAGTTAAATAAGCCTGCACACAAACAAAGCTACTTTATAATCTCCCGAAATTTCAGACACTTGTCATGCTTTGACACAGAGCGGTAGAAACTAACATGCTTCTTCCATCGAACCTCGCATGCAATCAATATCATGCACATTTATTTTGATAACTGGAATCAATGTAAACATTACTCACCAACTAATGCTGCCATTATTTTGTTAATTTATCCAATAATTAGAATTAACGTTTACAAATTTGCCTTTTCTCCCATAAATGTTTGTATCTATTTTTAGAATGAGAAATTGACTAGAGAGCTATAATAAAGGGGAATAAATCCGTATAATACACTGATATTTCCAATCAATCAGTGATATTTCACGTGTTAATTAATTTCTGTTTCATTTGTCATTTCGGTGTCAGAACCCGGGAGGGGGGGGGGGCTTAGCCCCCCACTTTTTTACAGACATTGAACAGTGGTAAGTTTAGCCCCCGGCACTTACAACATGCAGTTCTACTACAACATGCAGTTCTACTACAGGTAGAAAATTTAAAAAAAAAAAGGGGGGGGGAGTATATGGTAGTTTTTATTTAAAAAAAAAAGGTACTGAAAGAAGTTCGATCCCCTATCCACGAAATACGAACCCTCTCGTGATTGGGCAAAGCAACGGAGACATTTTTTATTTTCTTTTGCTTGTAATTTTTTTTTTGGTAGCAGTCCCTTTTTGTGATATTGAATGAAAGCTCTTGTAATTTTGCACCAATTTTGTTCTATATGTAATAACAAATTATTCATTGAAATTATCAATCCTACAAGTATTAAAGCTGCCATTTTGAAGTGTATATATGTATTACGTAGCTTTTTGCAAAGTGCTCATAATGATATTAGAAAGGAAAACCTTAAAGAAACTAGCTGATATACCCTTTCTTGGATATTTTATTTTATTTTATGTATGTTGAATTAAAATTGTTGTATTCATGACTATGATGGTGTTTCGTTGTCAATAAATAAATGAATTGAATTTTAGGTTTTGAAATTTTTTCCTCAACCCCCGCAACCCCCTTCTGGATCCGCCACTGACTACTACTGCAAATGTATTTATAACAATTAATTTTAATGGAGTACTCATAACTGACTAAGAAATCTTTCCGTATTTTTTTTTTTTTAAAGTTTATTAATGTATGTACACGTATTGCTGGGTTGAGCAATATGTAATATTTTAATCCTAAAGCATGGGATGTCGGTGCTATTGTCCATTGACAAGAATGAAAGTTCTGTCCAGGAGAAAAATCTTACCTGGGAATATTATAACAGATCTAAATGTACGCGAAATGTTCAGTTTTCATCAAACACAACTTCTTCTTCAGATGACTCTGGTCAGTACCAGGGGGTGAATTAGAACCAAAAGGTGAAGATAACCAACATTGACCAATCGACTATAATTTCTGAATGCGGGATCAGGTGCCATATCAGATTGGAGAACAGAGCAAACAGACCTCTTAAAACACAGAACTGGGAGCAGGTGCCACGGAGGGGTAAGCATCCTTTGTCGGCCAGCTACACACTCCGTGTGATCCTTATCGTGATCGGACAAAACAATTCAACTGTAGCATGCAAACTGGAAAAAAAATTAAGTACAGTAGAACATTCAAAAGAGAAAAAAATCAAAGTATGAAAAAATCAAAATAGCTCAATTTTACATCCTGAAGTGACTTTACCACCGAAAAGTTATCCAACACGTTCAATTATTTATCATACCTAAGATTTGCAAGAATATTGACCAAGCCATACACATTTTCAAAGTGCAAATATATGATCGATATTAATGCTCATTGAAAAAAAAAAATTTCAAAATGCGTTGATTTGGTCCCAAATTTAACGCACTGTGAAAAAAATTCAAGGTGCATAATTATTCAAAGTGCTTTCGGGTTTGGATCATCATGTTATTTTGTATTTAATGATTTAAAGAGGCTGGGTGGTTGTGGCCAGTTTTAGTCTATTTTGATTTCCTTTAGAAGAAGAGCTCCATATAAAGATATAATAAAATGATCAAATTTTAAAACTAAAATTTAAGAAATTTTTCGTCGCCAACTAATAGTTGACAGCTTAAAATAACATATCCCAAAATTTAAGTTATATATGGTGGTTAATAAAAAAAATAATTTGTTGACTCCCTATGGCCTCCTTAAGGGATAAATTTGTTAAAGTTTCACAGAGGAAAAGGCTGAATGTCCCAAATCACATCTTCCTGTGATATCATAGGTTTTCGCAAAATCGGTTTATAAGTTAAATTCATACCCAAAAGAAAAATACCGGTATATTTTGCCGAATGTCTTTTATAAGTGTAATATAAAATATGAATTGTTTAATAAGAGAATTTTAAATTTAATCAATTTTTCAGTCTTTAAAAAAATTGCTAAGGGCAATAATTCTTTCTCATGTATCTCCATTCAGTATTTTTATTGCACTTCTGATGTAAAATGTTTGACCAGTTACATGTATTCACAATTCAAACGTCTTTATAAAACACAATTTTAGAAACTTTCAGGATCAAAATTATGTACATTATTTGAAGTTATTTTTGAACCCGTTTTTATAATGATTCCCTACATTATTATTCATAACGGTTAGGAGGAGTTATTCCTCTTCTCACCAGTTATCGGAAAATTAATGCGTACTTAAAGGGACACGGACACAGTTTCAACTGATCTTTTAAAAACCAATATGAATGTTTACAATTCCTTTCTCAGACAATTCTAATAAGCAGCAAAAATTTGACATTATTAATCGATTTACGAAGAAATTAAAGAACTTAAAATTCTTCATAATGTAAACAATGCTTGTGCCTCAGATGTTTTTGTTTCATACAGAAAATATCATATCTGAAATAAAACGAGATTCAGCAAATCACTAGAAACTGTCTAGTCCCATTTCAAATTAAATTCTTTATTGAAAAAAGAACATGTACATTGTATATGTATATTTATCAAAAACATGGCACGGATCCTGTTTACATAAAAGTTTCTTGCATCTCGATAAATGAAATTGAAATTTTTGATGATTATTAATTAGGAATACTTTAGTTAAATAAAAAAAAAAATGGAAAGATAAACTTGATTTTTTTTTAGCTGAAACCGTGTCCTGTTCCTGGGATCATGTCAGAACCAGACTTAGACTTAAAAGAAGCATGAACCAAGGATCTTCCGGATCACTGTCAAATCTTGCATGAACTTAATTATCACTTCTGAGTGCTTGTCGAAGGAAGTGTAATTTCGCTCGTTGATAATATAACGTATTTTTGGATGCATGAATATATGGCTGCATTTCATTTTCGGAATTTTTGGTAATTATCAACTTTTCATTTCCGACATTTTTTAGTTTTCAATTCCGACATTTTTTAAATACATATGTAGTACCTAAAGTAACAGATTTGATAACTTTACTTATGAAAGATTTAAAGGAATAAATCATAAATAAAGCATTGAAATCCATATTTGTAAATCTATCAGTGACTTAGAGATAAGTATGGTGCTGTCACCGACATTTAATTTAGTGCACATTAAATATTGTTAAAAAGTTTTATGCTCATTGATTACAATGAAATCTTTTACTAGACTTAGAGCTACATGTATGCATATATGTATAGATGGGTTTTTTTTAAATATTAATATTTTGGTATATATTTTTCTTTCACGTAGAAAACATCGAATTGTCGCACAGGTAAATTCCGGAAATAAAAAAATGTCGGAAATGAAAACAAAAAATGTCGGAAATGAAATTAAAAAATGTCGCAAATGCTATGCATGTTTCCGGAAATGAAATGCAGCGGAATATATATTATAAATGGATTAAACCAAATTTATGAATAAAATAAATTGCGCATATTATCTAAATACTAGTAAGGATTTTCCATACATAGGCACGTAGGACATGTACATACACATAAACCTAATGATTGGCCATCGATGATGATTGGAATATATTCTTGATGAATTGTACTTTAATGTACACAAGATTATTTTGGAATTCAGGCAAAAAAAAAATCTGTGGAACGGATTTATCACATACATGTATTTTGATACAAAATAATCTTTAAAACATCTTTTTGTACCTACTTGTGTTTGTTTTTGGTCAAACTGTGAAACAATGTATTAAAGAAGTGGTTTGAATCAGATGTGGATACTCAAAAATTACAAAGAACTTTTTAACAGTTTTAAATCATAAGAAGTTATCAAAATCAACAGCTTAAAAACTTACGACTTTCCAACTTTATACACAACCATTCCCCATGATAAATTACAGTCCAGGCTTTCTGATACATGGACAGCTGCATTTTCAATAAAAATGGAACTCGTAAATTTACTTACCTGTCATTGGACATTTGCTAAATTATTTTGTTTAAAACATTCTGATTGCACAAACGAGTACTCTGAATTTGACATCAAAAAGATGCTAGAGTTTCTAATTGACAATATCTATGTGGTTTTTGGATATAAGGTCATCCAACAATCTGTTGAAGTCCTTATGGGTACCAATTGCGCTCAGTTATTAGCAGACCTATTTTTGTATTCATATGAAGCTTTGTGCAAAATCTTGTTCGTGATAAGAAAAAAAAAACACTTGCTGAGCCTTCAACTCAACATTTATATATCGACGTCGCAATGTCAATTTATAATGGTAAATTCCATTTCTATGTGACGATTTATCCTGGTGAGCTTGAGATGAAAGATATCACAGAGTCTGACACATCTATTTCGATACACTGAAAGAAAAACGTAGTGAATTTAACTAGTGTGCTTTGGTCGTGATTAGTAAACTTTCAGTTTACTGGTTAAGATAGTGAGTTGTGGAGCGGGGGTCGTATAGATACTTAGATACCTAGTGAAAGTTACTCATCAATATTCTAAATTTACTAATCTTATCTAGTAAATATACCAATATCTGGTAAAACTACTATTAAGGTAGTGATTGTATGGACAGTGAATCTACTAGTCTTCTTCGTGACATTAACTAGTTATTTTTTTTTTACAGTGTACTTGGATATTTTACTTGAAAAAGACGTTAATAGTAATCTAACAACCAAGCTCTATGACAAACGTGATGACTTTGACTTTTCTATAATCAACTTCCCTTACTTATACAGCATACCTTCATCACCTGCATACAGCGTTTATATACCTCAGTTGATTCGATACACAAAAGCATGCTCTACGTATGAACAATTTCTAAAACAAGGTAGATTGTTGATAAACGAGTTGATGAAACAAGAATATCACCAACCTCGTTTAA